CAAGCCGCCTTTTGACAGGACTCTGCCGATTCCGGCCTGGATGGGTCCCAGCCTTTCCTTTCTCAACAAAATGTGCCTTGTCGGTTTAGGGTTTAGGGTTTAGGGTTTAGGGTTTAGGGTTTAGGGGCTTGGCGTTTAGGGTTTAGGGTTTAGGGTTTTAGGGTTTTAGGATGTAGATGGGCTTAGGGTTTAGAGTCTACAAGGGTTCTATCAGGGTCTTTTAGAGGCTGCAGGGGGTCAGTACGTAAAGAGCTCCAGACAGAGCTCTCGATAAAGGAATAGACCCGAAGATATATCATGATTCTGGTTGTACTTCTTGGAATGTTAATGCACTCTACAGTGTGGGTGTTTAGTGCTTTGCATCCCTGGTGTAGATCTCGTTTACCTTCGGGTCGGAATTGGCGGAAGGCGGGGTTTGGTGAAAAAATGTTAAAACTAAAGCCCAGATGCATTGCCATCTCGCAAGCCTATGATCTCAGTGTGCATCGCATCTTGCAGGAGAGGTAAGCTAATGTCCCACCATTTCTTCTCGTCGTCCCAGGAAGGGCGCAAGGCGCAGTCCACAAGCTGTAAACCGTCCATCTTCTCATGTAGCAGGTGCTTCAGTATCGATGGATTCGGGGCCGCAGTGGCTGCAATGCTCTTGCCTGCGAAGATGGACCCAGCACCCTGGCCAAGAAAGACCATCTCTCCCTTCTTCACACCTTGCAGAATCGCCGTGCCAAGGCTGGGAGCAAACTTCGTGTAGACGTATGTGAGGAAATCTGCATTGCCAGATGGGACCACGACTACGTCCACCGCAGCGATTTGTTCTTCAAGGACTTTGAGACATTGATCAGAGACATCCAACTCCATCGACACTTCCGGAGCCTTGCCTTCTGACTGAAGTCGGAACAGGGAAGTCTTCTGCTCCGCACTTGCACACCGGTCGAAGGCGGAGACGTGGGTGATTTGGTTCAGACCCAGCTGGCGCAACGCTCCATCGGCGCTGACGACATCACCCGGCAGGAAGCCTTTGAAGTCCTTCGCTGCATAAAAATAATTACCTATATGATTCCTTAGGTTGCTTATTATCATTATACTATACAGGAGCCCGAAACATGTCAGGATGCGAGATGTAAGCCGACAAGTAAGCACGACGTTTACGGATGCAGACATGGAAGCCTATCTATGCGCGTGCCATGCCTTTATGCTCTTCAGGCACACAGCGCCGTCCTCCGTCGCTGCCGTCACAGCTGTGAGCGGAGTCATCGAAGCAGACCGCAAATAATTCAGACCGGTGGGGCTTGCGAACCTTTGCCTGGAGGAGTCCCAGAAGTCGGTGCTCAAATAAGCGCCATCATCCAAAGACAGCACCTGCAAAGGAAAGGGGCAAGACAGGTAAGGTCAAAACGAAGGCAAGAGAGAAGCTTGCAGGTCCTTACCCGGAAAAGCAGTCCGTCCTGCGGATCCAGTATGGGCAATCCTTGATCCACCTGGCTTCCCTTGCTCGATATACTTGGCGGCGGCCGCTAAGGGAAAAGAGCCGGATGAAGCATACAGCGAAACATGCCATAAACCCTAAACCCTAAACCCTAAACCCTAAACCCTAAACCCTAAACCCTGGAGCGCTCCTGAAAACACGAAGAAGCCCCAAAGACTCCTTTAAACCTTCCTCGAGACAGCGACCCGCGCTCCCCCAACAAAAAACCCTGAACCCGAAACCCTAAACCCTAAACCTTAAACCCTTAACTCTAAACCCTAAACCCTAAACTAAAATGCGAACCTGAACTCCCCAGGACCGAAACGGCGCCTGAAGCGTCGGAAAGACCTCTGCATCGGGCTCAGCAGAAGGCAGTCTCCGAAGCAGGGTCTTCAACTCCTCCTCGCAGTGGAAGCGGTGAGTTTGGGGCTTGGGGTTTAGGGTTTAGGGTTTAGGGCTTAGGGCTTAGGGATTTAAGGTTTAGGGGTTTA